TGTAAGTTTTGGACAAAAATGTCTTCTAAATATGTAGCCTAAAATGTAATAATAATAATTATTATTATTGTTATTATCATTATTTGAGTGTATAACTATAAACGAGTTCACTTAAGTAATAGGTTAGGCCTATATCATTAAATAATTCATGAATGCTTTATTTTTTAAGCAAAGATTATGCAAAAAATGTAGGCCTGTTTTATCCAAAACTGTAAAAGGTTAGTTAGCCTATAAAAATAATGCATTGTTAAATTATTTTATGACAAACATTTATATATTTGTAAATATTAGTGTCTTAAAATAGCAAAATTTAGGCTACAGATCTGTGGATGTTCAGGGTTAGTTTACTAAAACTAAAACTATTAAAAACAGTTATGCTAATCGACATAAACCGGAAATAAAGGAAAATATAAGTATTAGTTGAACAACTTAAACTAAACGAAAATTAGAAATGTTTCCTTTTATCAACAAATTGGATTCATTTAGGGGTTGACCTTCAACCGACGCGATCATCTCCATTCATTAACCGACAAGATTGTTAAATTAAAATTTACACGTGTCTGTGACCCATTAAAACACACAAACATGTTTTTCCAGGGGTTTAGTTTTAGCCTGCATGCACAAATAGCTGCATAAAGAACAGAAGCATCATCGTATGCACCTGTAGCACTTCTGTGAACAAGAAAAAAAAAAACAGGATAAAATCATAGCCTATAAAAGGAATAAATAGCCTATCTATACACAAAATTTATTTCGATTCATGGTGAAAATGATTGCTTTTGAGAGGCAAGTTCACGGAAAGGAAAGCTGCTTGTTTTCTTCATTATACAAGCAATGTTTTGTTTTTATTGTGAGTGTAGGTAGGCTATACACAACAAATTATAAACCATTCACAGATTCGAATGATCTTTGGCTATAATAATACGTGCTGAATTGGTCTGGTCTGACTCAGTTCATCATTGATTGGGAGAGAACAGTTCAAACTTACTGGCTGTGTAAAACAGTGGGCGTGACTCATTATACTATTAGCAAAATGCCGTAAAATAACGCGCGCTCTGTTCAACCAAAACGGCGTTTTTTACGCCGTCATATGGCAAGATGAACGTCGTAAAAAGCGGCGCTTTCCATGAACAAAAATACGCCGTGGAATACGGCGTCATTGACGTATTTCGCGCGTTTTTTACGGCGTCTGTAATTACAACGGCGTAAAAAACGCGCGAAATACGTTTTAAAACGCCGTATTTTACGGCGTTTGGCTGTAAACGCGATTAATCTATAGCGTAATTCTGACCCTCTTGGCTTGCCATATGCCATAGTATGAAGAGTTGAGCGCGCGTGTGTGTCAATAGTTGAGCGCGCGTGTGTATCAAGAGTTGAGCGCGCGTGTGTATCAAGAGTTGAGCGCGCGTGTGTATCAAGAGTTGAGCGCGCGTGTGTATCAAGAGTTGAGCGCGCGTGTGTCAAGAGTTGAGCGCGCGTGTGTCAAGAGTTGAGCGCGCACAGAATTAAGAGGTTGAGAGAGAGAGAGAGGGACTTGACAGGAGCGCAGAGAATAAGTTTGTGAGAGAGCACCTGAGTAAACTGCGTGAGAGTAGTTATTATTGCACGTTAATATGGATAATAGCAAATACATTTATTGAGCACGGAATCGTTTTTTCTTTGCTCAAACGAATTTTTTTTTTGCGATTGTTAATTTCTGTTCAAAATATAATGCAATGTGCTTGCAAAATATAGTTCTCTGTGCTCAAAACTTACAATTACTCGCTCAGGAATGAGGCACATATATAACGCCATACGTGTCTGGCGACGCGACAAAGTTGAGATCTGTTTAACTTTATGCAAATAGGGAGCGACTTTCGGGAGCGACAACCAATAGGAGCGGAGCGCGTATGATCCTTCTCCACATCATTGGATGTCATTCATAAAGGCAACCAGTAGTGGGAACTCCCACTAGCGACCTCATCGCCAGCCACTGGCGACATGCAGCGACAAAGTCGCTTGTAGTGTGAACCACTTCCTGGTTGCATTTGTTTAAAGATATACTGTCCAGCATGAAATGATCATTTACAAACACTTTTTTTTGCTGATTTGTTACGCCTCGCATAGTTGCACTGGACATTCACATGTTTATGACAAACAGTCATAAAGGTTAAGTTCTCTCTTTAACTCTGTACAGAGTGAACTGAAACTCATGTGTCAGCATTTTCAAGGGGTCGACGTCACACGGGGACAACCTCTTCTTTTAATGCCATTTTTCTTGTCCAAATGCATTTTGGAAGCACTTTATGTGTATATCCCTCACATCTTTATATGGAGATCCCTGTAAGACACATCAAGAATTACACACAAGTTGTGTACACATAAAACATACCAGATTCATCAGATGTATATATGCACACTTCTTGGGTTAACAGCCATTTGGATTATTTGAATATTCCTTTTGAGTTTCCCTTGTGTCATTCACCGCAGTAAATAATAAATGTCCATTCTATTGATATGGAAAGCCTAGTTCTTTAAATGACTACTTGAAAACATTTCCATTCATTTAAATCATGTTGTTCCCTTAACATAAGAAAACAAAAGTTTGGGCCTCCTGCATTCAAAAAATACAGTGAAAACGGTAATATTACAATGTAAAATAATTATATTAGAATTATAAAATATTTTTATTATAGTTAATAATGTATTCCTGTGATGGCAAAGCTGAATTTTCAGCATCATTGCTCCAGTCTTCAGTGTCACATGATCCTTCAGAAATCATTCTAATATGCTGATTTGCGGCTCAAAAAAATATTTATTTTTGATAAATGTATTATTATTATCAGTGTTGAAAACAGCTGTGCTGCTTCATATATTTTAAAACATTTTTAGGACAATTTGATGAATAAAGTTCAAAAATTGTAAACGTCTTAACTGTCAAATTTAATGGACCCTTGCTAAGAGTATTAATAATACACACACACACACACACATACATATATATATATATATATATATAATATAAAGTAATACTCTTATTCAGCAAGGATATATATAGCTTTTGAATGGTAGTGATAGTAATGAATTGCTAGTTCATGAATGTGATGCTAAGATCTACTGAGGGAAAAAACAAGCTCAAACACTAAATGCTTTTGGCATTTTTATTAAGTTCACTTTGACATCATTACAGGGACCACAAGTTTTCCTGTTTGCATCTTTCCCCCTCCTCCCCCCCACAAAAAAAAGCTCCTACATATTAACTTAAACTTAATTCAGAATTAACAAACTAAATGTAGATGTTAGTCACCACATCTAGTCTTCAAGAGTCAAAAGCAAAAACAATGTGACCTCAGTCAACCCTTCTCCGAGAGAAACACAGGAAAGAAACAGCAAACATGCTAAAGAACTACAGGAATAAGTTAAAAAATAATACCCAAATATTAAACTGAAACTCAGTAGAGTAGAGAAGAAAAGATACGGAGACGTAGAACCTAAACAGAGAGGTCTGCATCTATTATAAAAGTAGTTATATAATTATAATTTACCCTTTAATAAAAAATAAAAAAGAAAAAGAAAAAGTGGTAATACAAATTGTCATAGCTTGACCTGTTTCTTCAAAAGCAACACACACACATGTGATCTATCCTGTAGAACATGCCAGTTAAGCAACAATGACAAGACACTTGCGTCCGAATCTGATCATGTGTGTAAACATGCATAAAGGGTATGTGAGAGAGAAAAATTAAAGTTAATTGGAAAGGGGCCGTAAAAAGAAAAAAGAAAAAAAAAGAACAAACTTTTAAAATGCCAATGAACTTGTCAGTGTTTAACATTTCCGATGCTATTTTTCCCAATTTTGACATGCTTCCAACTGCATCAGCTGGAATGTTAAATGGCGCAATAAAACCATTATGAGCTGACAGACTATCTAGTAAAAGCAACAACATGAATGTAACCATAACTATTGATATACGGTGCGTATTCCATTTATCACATTGTAAGCCTTTGCGCAGACGGACTGCTTTTAAACAGGACATCCAAAGCCATTTTTTACCATGCTACCCTTCCCTTACAGAAATCAACTCACCCTTGTATCTTAAAAGCCAACAGTGTTTGCAGTGGGACTTGACTTTTAAGGAAAAACAGTGTCATCACATGTCATTAGTAAGTGTAATAATTTTATCCAGCTTAAATAATGCGATGTTCTTTGCAGTCTTAAACAAAAAACATATGAGATATTTAAACTTCTTCAGTCCCCAAGGTGGTAAACAATGCCCTAAAATGCTGACAAAAAAACATGTTTACCTTTACCTAAAATTACATGAATGATGACCATTGGCCGTGGTTTAACAAAAATCAATGACTTTTGAGGCCAACTTCACATCTCGCACAAGATTATTCCCCTTCTCTCCTATAATTCTGCTGCTCTGGCGATCCTATACATAAAACTCATTCTTAAGGTTATTAATATTTATTGTTACGAAGCCAATGTCAGACAGGGGACTTAAAGCAGCCAACCTAATCGAGATATAATATAATTACTATTATGTGAAGAGTAGTAACGATAACATTTAACATGTGAACCCAACTCCGACGACTGAGTGCAAGAGAGGTGCGAAAGAGAAATATAAGAGCTGTATATTCGTTTTTTTTTTAAATATAAAAAGCAACACTAACTACTTCACAGCAAAGAGCCTGTTGTAATCGAACTATATATACATACACGATATTAAAAACTTTGCCAATAACAGGGAGGATAGTGAACTAGACTGAATTATCACTGCTGGTTGCGTCCCGATCAAAACGTGCAAGACAAGTAAAGTTCAGTGCATTTCAGATTAATACATACACATTTTTCAAAGAACAAACGGGGGGAAAAGTATGTTTCATAACGTTCACTTTTTTTTTTGTCAGCATTTTTCAGTGAAATGTTCATTTTTTTAAAGTACAGAGTCAAACACCTGTCTCTTTATTCATTACTACCGCACCACCCTAACCCAACACTCCCGAAACCAGGTCATAAGTTCAGTCTAGTTCACAGATCCTTCCATACGCTGGCCATCAAAATGGGCATCCAGTGGCATTACATCACTTCCTGTGTTGAAAATCATCAGCTCCCGGAGCCCGAGCTTCTTTTCCTAATGCTCGTTAATAAGCTGCAGTTAACAGTGAATATCAAGAAGCTTTTTAGATTTTACATACTAGCTGGTTCAGTGCAGATGGTTGTTTTAAGGTGTGAGGGTTAAACAGGGGAGGAGAGAAAGGGGGCGGGGCTTAGAGTAAAGGGAGGTGGCTAGAGATAGAAGGATGGTAAACATGGCAACAACTGATCGGAGGAGAGGATCATTCTGCTTTACAGCGCTTCATGGCTCCTGGGAGTTTCTCTTGTAGCCTGAGGGAGACAAAGAACAAGCCTCACTAATTGGCAGCCATTTCCAAGACTCAATTCTTTATAGATGAAGAGCATGCACAGTAAGTGCACATTCTTACTTTATTTTGAATACTTTATTACTCTACTCAAAGCATACTAACTTGGCCATTGTAGTGTTGACTTGAGTGCGTACAATGTCGATGTAACGGTCAATCTGGGTCTGTGGAAAGAACATAGAGATGCTGCATTATAATAAACAATAACGGTAATATTACTGCATGTGCTTCCATGCAAACTTGCTGGCATTACACTAGGATGTTGTGGGTGAATGCTAGGAATATAGTAACTGACACTAACGACTATTTTTTGTGGATATTAGTTTAGTTTAGTTGTACAATACAAATTATATACAATAAAAAGTGCAGGGAGAGGCAGAAAACACATGAGGACTTATTTAAAGCCTCCAATGAAAGTGAAAATAAAAAATATATAAATATTATTGGTTAAATTGATTAATTGCGATTAATAATATCTACCATAAAAGTATGTAAGTGTGTGTGTATGCATGCATGTATTGTGCGTGTATGTATGCATGTATATATATATATATATACACACACACACATATATATATATGTGACATGCGAATAATCGATTTGACAGCACTAAGTATGTAATAATGACTATACATATATATAGTAATATATATGTAATAATGTAATAATGACTATATATATATATATATATACGTATAGTCATTATTACATACTTAGTGCTGTCAATCGATTAATCGCATGTAACATGTATGTATATGTATATATATACGTGTGTGTGTATGTATATGTGTGTGTGTATATATATATTACTCTAAAACAGTTTCTGAGCATCATGACTTTCATTTTCTCACTATGAAGATATTAAAATCTGGGTTACTGCAGTTTTGAGGTCAGTGTATAGTGCTCTGCGCCATTGAGATTAAAGAGACAGTTCAGAGTTTTGTGGCACCATTATGAAGTATCATTATTTCTGTACATTATCTTCATTAGCGCTGTTTAAAATGAAGAAAGGTCAGAAGAGAAAAACTGCATCAGGCACTCATTAACAAATCACAGTTACATAAGAATTTAAAACTTGACAAATGCTTTAAGAAAAGATTATGACAAGTGTTCGGAAAGGGCTTACATAAGAGCCCTCTGGAGCAATAATCATACATAACGATTACTGTTCAGTCTGAGTGGGCCGCTGTTCTCAAACACTAACTGCATGTGTGTCATCTATTAGATGCTTTTCAAAAGCAACTCTGTGCAAGTGTTTCAAAATCACATCATTGTTATATATGAAACTGCATTTTATTGCATAAGTTTCCTCTGTCATTAAAAGATCACTAGTAACAAGAGTAACTTGCAATACTGGTTAGCATAAGAATTAATTAATACATGAAGGCACATGAATAACGTATGCTTATCTGTCCCAATTTGATTTAATTAGTATCGATTGTGATTCACCAGTTTCAAAGAAATGTTATTTGCTTGCTTTTAAATTATATGCCATATAAATTATATACTAATAATATAAATGTATATTGATAATAATAATAACAATAATATCATTATTACTACTACACTATGGTTTAAAAGTTTGGGGTCAGTGGGATTTATTTTGTGTAAAGAAATTAATACTTGTATTCAGCAAGGATGCATTAAATTGATCAACAGTGACAGTAAAGACATTTATAATATCACAAAAGATTTCTATATTCTATTTTATTTCTTTTGAACTAAAAAAAAATCATGGTTTCATAGTTTTCCACAGAGACATCAAATCAGCATATTAGAATGATTTCTGAAGGATCATGTGACTTTGAAGCTTTGTCATCACAGGAATAAATTACATATCAAAATAGAAAACTTCTTTTAAATTGTAATAATATTTCACAATATTACTGTTTTACTGTATTTCTTATCAAATAAATGAAGCCGTGGTAAGAATAAGAGACTTTCAAAACAATTAAAACAATATTACCGACCCTAAACCTTTAAACAGTAGTGCATTATTATCATTATTATACAATCTCTTATTTGGACTACAACAATAAATACTCTTTAAAGAGATGGTTCACCCAAAAATGAAAATGAAATATGAAATGAAAAAAATCCTTTAAAATATCTTATTTTGTGTTCAACAGAAGAAAGAAACTCATTCAGGTTTGGAACAACATGAGGGTGAGTTAGTGATGACAATTTTAATTTTTGGGTGAACTTGAACTATCCCTTTTATGAACACACAATGCATAGTTTGAAAAGCAAAAACATAGATCTAACCTTGTTTTTCTCATAGATGAGCGGTACACTGAAGAGCAGGATGTCAGCTGGAAAAGAAAACACCCAGTATTGGGTGATTATGATTATTCTTAAATTCCACATGGGATAATTCAGAAAAAGTCAAGTCTCTTAAACTCAAATTTAAGTATGGTGCTAAAAGTGGTATATTTGGCCTACCCAGGATGAGGATGGTGATGCCATTGAAGACCGCTCCAACATATGTCAGCAGCCACATAACCACTGCCAGCTGAAAACACAAGGAAAAATGGGTCAAAAGAACAGAAATCCTTTGAATCCCTTTTAAACCACCAAATCTGAGAACACATTTTTCTAAATGAAAAATGATGAAATCAGTGTTTTAATAAAAATCATAGAGCTAATATAGTAAGGGTGATAAAAGAGATAAATGTTCCTTGTTGCTTCTCGTCATTTTTGGAACTTGAATATCCATATAAACATGCTGTATGGAAAAGACATTACATTCTTTAAATTATACCGTTTTTTTTTAAATCCACAGAAGAAAGTTTGGAACAACATGAGGGTAAATAAATTCTGAATGAATTGGAGAGCTATACTTTTAAATCCGTTCATTTCTAACTGACCTTGAGGGAATCCACCAGATCCTCGACCAGAAAGAGGCGGCTCATCTGCTTGAGCGCACGGTTGACGTGTGTGAGACAGGCGTCCACGTGCTTGCGGAAGGTCTCGGGCGGCACGGCGACATCTTTCTCCATCAGAGCTCTGTCACAGGCACAGGGGTCAACCCAATTAACCTTGCCACTGCATACACACACAGCACTGAGCACCACTGCACTCAAAACCAAACCTTACTAACACCGAGCATGACAAGACATGCCAAACTGACCTACAGTATATGAAATGTGTAGCATGTATTTAAAAAAAAACACTTTCTCCTATAAATTCTATTTTTATTATATATTCAATATGGTAACAATTTATATGTTTAATATTTTTATTATTAACAATCACATTATAATATATACATATTATTTATTAAATATATATTTTTACAAATGCAGTTTTTACATATAAAAAACAAAATATTTTTTATTTTATATATATATATATATATATATATATATATATATATATATATAAAAGTAAAATAATTGTATAAAATAAAAAATATAAAAAAACCTGATTTTTTATTATTTCTCATACACAGTGGTGGCCAAAAGTGATGTAGGGTAATTAAAAACTAATATTCCCTCCTGACAAGTTCAATTATTACACCATCAAAATATGGGGAACCCATTATATATATTTTTTAAACATTTTAAATTTTGTTTTAAAAATGTAAATTTAAAAAATTTGTTTAAATACAAAACACTAAATTGGTAAAGGTATTTATCTGACAAAATTAAAGCTTCAGGCTTTATTTAACTATGCCAAAAAAAACTCTCAGGAAAAAGCATACAGTGACTTCAACATAATGAGCTATTAATATTCCATTGGTTCTCTCTTGTTTTTGCATATGCTAATCATTTCTATGTATGACTGTCTGTCTGGCGAAAAATTATGTTTTCAATTTGGCATGTTTCATTGCGTTCTCAAAAATAAAACAATTGACTCCAATCACAACTACGCAATATGCTTATAAATCTTTTTTTATAATATTTGAGGTAAAGGGTGAAGATGTTAACAGGCTGGACATCACTTTTGGCCACTACTGTCTAACAGTACTAGTGGCCCAATGTTTTTTTAAATATACAATAAATATATATATCATCTCTAATAAGACGAAGGTGTTTTCTAAAACATGTACAGGACTCTCACTTGAAAGGGTGTCCATCGGTGGACTTCTGCACAGCCTGGATGACGGACTTGTAGATGCGGAAAGAGATGGTGACACAGAGCAGAGCCAGCAGCAGGTATGAGATCACGCTGATCACGCTAAACGCTGCCAGAGAAAGCAGCAACAGCAGCGACACGCCAAACACCACGCCGGACTTCTTAGGGTCCCGCCAGTGCACCAGGTCGTTCACTGCACGACAGAAAAGGCATGTGAAAAACGTGCGCGTGGTGTGTTTTGATGAACGTAACAGGAAATAAAAACAGCACATGACAAAAATATTGATATCAACTGTTGAATTGGAGCAAAACAATTTAAATCCAGAGTATGCAGCAGTAAAAGCAGGAACACATTTGAATAAGTTATTTTGGTACCTGAACTGTAAAATCATTAGTTCTGTCATAAATAATACAGAGCTCATATTTTCCATACAGCTGCGGTTACATAATGCAGTTTTCGAGTGGCTGGTGATGCGGCGTGAAAGGAACCTTTTAAAGAAGCCTTACATAAATGGCATTCTCCACGTGGAGTGATGCCTTGAGGGTTTCGGCTCTGCGTGTTTCCATTTCTGAGGAAATCAAGGACGCATAAACAGTCTATGGTGGTATTCAAGACATCAAACTTCATAAGTATGTACCACAAAAGAACAGCACAGTACACCCATTTACATATTTATATTTCCTGGCAAAGACTAGATGAGGAATTCATACTTGGCCATGTGTGGGATGAGTCCTGTAACAGAAGACCTTACACGTGCAAGCGTTGGCTGGTTGAAAACACAACCACGTCTTCCACTGTTACTATGTTTGGTCTGTCAGCTTTAATACATCACACCACAGCACAAATATGGCTCTCCCACTCCAAGAGACTGTAAATGCATTCATGCATTCATTTCAAGCAATACATGGTCAGGTACCGCTTTTCTTTTCTTTTCTTTTCAGCGAACGTTTAAACTCTGAAATACACCATAATGCAAATTATTATTTGTAATTAGTTGATGAAAATGACTTAATGAAAATTTTATTAGGGGCAGGAGGGAGATAAATGGTCAAAACTAGCCATGTTAAATAATATTTAACAAGATCCAGTTCAAATGTTTGGGGTCAGAAAGATTTTTTTTTTTCATGTTTTTAAAAGAAGTCTCAGCAAGGCTGCATTAGTTTGATCAGAAATACAGTAAAACAAAAAATGGCTGTCTATAAAGTATAAAGCCATTAAAGAATAAAGACTGTTGTATTTACTTTTGCCAAATAGGTAGGAAAACTTCAATGCCCATAATGCACTGGGCATGTTGCCGTCCGAGGCCACTCCCACCAGTCTGCTATGGATGCACTTAACGCATAGTAGAAAATACTTCTAAGAAAACTTTGTCATAACGGTGTCGACTTGTATAGTTCCCAGATGCAAGAATTCAAAGAGTAAACATTTAGCGGGAGTGACTAACTGTACAATAACTGTTCAGCTAATAACCCTCAGTTGATCTGACTGTCCATGGGCGGAGATACAAAAACGAGGAAGTAAAATAGTTTTCACGAAAGCCCTGGAGCTGTCAAATAAACGTGAATTTCTCGGTCCAGGTAACACAGAGAACATTGTTCATTCACATTTACTACCAACATTGTAACAATACAAAGCTGGTTGAAAATCGGTGAAGCTACACTTGAATATTTTTATGAAAACTGTGATACATTTGAGGATTTTTTTTGATGAATAGAAAGTTCAAAAGAACAGCATTTATTTGAAACAGAAATGTTTTGTAACATTATAAATGTCTTTATCGTTACTTTTGATGAAATGTATGCATCCTTGCTGAATAAAAGTATTAATTTCTTTGACTGACCCCAGACTTTTAGTGCATCTACTTGTTCTTAAATATGGAATTTGTGCCATTTTTGCTTTAAAAAAAAAGTCATGGGACACCAATGTCACCAAAAAACCAGTTCAAAACAAAAGACTAATAATGAAAATTCAGATATTTAAAAATGTGGTATTGTACTCAACCATTTACCATAAACAAACAGGCACATTTAAATCAACATAATTTGGATTATTCATAATTTTGAAATCTAGATGAGCTCTGATCAGTTGTATGCTGTATTTTAAGAGAGGAAGGGAAGGGAAAAAGTAATATAAAAACAAAAACAGTGATAGAGCATCCCGAGGGAAAAAAAAAATGTTTACAACAACAGTCAACGTGACATAACTACAGCACAATGGTGTGTGGCAAATGATTCAGAGCCTGAGAGAGCACTATTGTTTTTGTCCACCCCGACTGCTCGGGGGCTAACACTCAGTGCATGTGAGGGGTTTCCTCCCTGCTCACTGCAGGGGCTTGAGTCCCTCCCAGCATGCTTTGCTAGTGCCCACAGGGAGGCAGCCTAAGCTGAGAACAGTCATTCGTTATCATTCCCTCCCTCCCTCGCAAGGGTTAGTGGACCCAGATACAACAGCATGTCCCAGTGGCTAAGAGTGGCCTCTTTTAGTTCTCGCACAACTCAGCTCTTAAAGGTACATGCACCATCTAATGCATTTGTGCGAATCCGTGTAAGAGTCCACGTGTGTCTGAATCATTTAAGAGTCATGCATGAAATCACGTATTCACAAGATAAAAAAAATCTAGTTTTTACTTATTACAGCGAGTGCTCAGTTGTATGTTTAGAAACGAACAGTGTGAGCCAATTTTCATGCAATGAAAAGCTAATGAGGTCAGTTATTTAAAGGCTATTGGCCATATTTATACACTATGGTCTGTTTCAGTGTTCTTAAAATGTTTGCACTTGCTTCTTATCCTTTTAAAGCCTCAAGTGAAATTAAACTACTACATTTTACAGGCAGAACATATGGAAAAATTCAAATGCCTAACGTGAATATTTATTAGTTTATATACATATGAATTAGAAGTACATAAATGTGTACAGTGATTAGTCAAACCTATGCTTGAGTTAACAACCTCATTATCTACAGATCTGAAGAACCCAAGTGGAAACCAACACACCCATTAAAACAAACATTCACACCACTAGAAAGCTCTCAGTCAGCCGTACTTAAATGATTGACAGCTAAAATACCAAGATACAATCATTGTCAAAAAATGTCAGCCACAGCAAACAAATCAATGAGAGACTGAAAAGTGAGACAAACAATATGCTCTAGATCTGTTAAATAACCCACTTACTGTTACAACTATATCTGGCATCTAGCACAAGAAATGAATTACTGTCTATATGAAAAACTTTACAGCAGGGCTGGAATGAGGCGTTGACGTAATCAATTATGTCGATTGCGTAAATCAGAGGAATGTGTCGATATGTTGCACTGTTTAGTGTTTATATTCCCCAGTGATGGTGGCACCGACTCCCAGGCATGCTAAAAATATGCCGTTATTACAAAAATATCGAGCCCGATCTAAAGTGCAAATTTTTAAACAGAGAAAGAAGAAAATGGTTATCTGCATGCTCTGTAAAACTGAAATGGCATAGCACAGCAGCAAAACTTCTATGCAAGAGAATCTGAAAAGAAACGCCCCGGGGCTCTCCTACCTCAAAACGACGAGACAGCAGTGTAGGTATTTGGACTATTTCTACACAGCACTAGAATATGCTTGTCGGTCCCATATTTTGTGCTTAATACGGCTGTGTTCATAAAGCATTCTGTTTTTTTACGAGCTGCTGTGATTTGAGGCTGTGAGACACGTGACTCAAACATACTCTCTGCAACCGGTAACAAAGCATTTAACGCTGTTGTTTATTTAGTTATATTATTTAATAAATCTAAAAAATTATCGCTAGATTAATCGACTGAAAAAAATAAGTTGTTCCAGCCCTACTTTACAGTAAGGTTAAATTAATATTGCTAACTTTTACAGCATTTATTAATTTCTACATTTAGGAAAACATTTAAGAATGGATTAACAAAAGAATATTTGTATAACAATACAGTACATTAATAAATTAACATTATCCTGTATTAACAAATTCTGCAAAAATGGTCATGATGCATTAACTAATGTTAACTGATACTTATTGTACAGTGTCCCCATATGTGTGAGATAAACAAATACCAAAACAAATACTAGTGTTCATTGTCTTTTTACTACTACATACCCAAGTAACTTTCTTACATATAACATTTTAATGTGGAACTTAGGGCTTTTCAGTTAATCAAAAATTATCTGTGATTAACTAATTGTGAAATGCAAATTTATTCTCCATTAATTTTGTTGATCATAATAACAGGATGTTATGGAGTCCAGAATAGCAGGGCTCAAACATCAGCAATAAAGTAATTGAGGGACACATTCTTAGCTTATTTTGGATGTGTAGCCTACAAAAAGAAAACATACAAATTACAACATGCAGGTTCTATTATAACATATTTCTTTAATAGAAATGAATAATTGTGCTTACAATAATCAAGAGAAATAGTCAACAATAATGACTCAACAATTCTCCCAAAACTAAAGGGGGACAATGTATATATAGTCATTATGGTAAAGGCCAAGCATTTCACCTTTAAGTAAAAAAAAAAAAAAAGCATAAACCGATAATTCTGCATCACTTTCTCTCTAGTGTTACACCAGATCAGTACACACATAACAATAGCCTACTAACTGTCAAATAGAAGATAATGCTACTCCTTTTAAATGACACATTTACCCTGACTTTATTCCCAATGGCCTTTCTGAAGGTTATATAAAAAGATGAAACCTGAGACTAGACATAACCGGTCACCTGACTTCAAGGGCTGTACAAGCCATGCAGCCACCCTGCAGGAGTGTTTATATCCATTCCTTTTAAAATTATACCATCATGTTTTTAAGGTCATGAGACATGGCACAGAAAAAATAGAATTAATTTAATGTCATGGCTAGTCCTAGTTTATGTTTATTCAGTTTTCCTCACAACAAACAAGTCATTTAGAATCTCCATAAGGCTATTGTAATAACTTGAACATTTTTAGTTTTTGCCATCTTTTCAGAAACATACTTATAGGTTAGTGTTGAGTAAATTCAAGTTGAGTTATAAAGAAAAAGAGGTAAGTAAGGTCTAGTGTCTGGGCATACTATGCGTGCAGGGTTAGCAGGCTGCTTGCCCAGAAGAAAGACATGTTACCTGAAAAGTGGGTTAGTATTGCTGTCAAGACATGCTCTGCAAGATGGTAGGCCTCTGCAACCCAAATGTCGATTGCCTCTACCTCTTTGGGAAGTACTGCCTGACACTCGTTTGGAAGAGATTGAGAAGATGAGGTGATTGAAGCCTCAGGATTTGGTGTAGGAATAGGAGCTTTATCAGGCTTTAGGACAGTCTTCATTGTGGGAATATTCTCGTCTTCCTCCTCTTGGCTGCTCCCGAGCTCTTTCAAAGCAGAAATTGTGAGGCGCTCCTGCTCCAAGTCCATGATCATTGCTGGGGAGGATTGAGTGGAAGGAGGAGCATCAGATTTGGAATTCTGGTCTATAGTTTTGTGTCCAGAACTAAACCCCTCAGGTTCCTCATCCTGTCGTGACTTAAGACACTCCCTCATGAAATCCACAAAGCTGTCAGTAGCTGCTGTTACTGAGCATTCTGCTTCAAACGTCTCTGTATCACTCATGGTCTCTGGCGAATCCGGTCTATCTAAAAGATCTTTGGGGGTCACAACTTGAGGTTCAGACTTCGTTATCACTGATCCCTCAGCAACCTCATTTGTTGTAGGCTCAGAAATGTTGTAGTCATTGATTTTGCTAAACTGCTCACTGTGGAAAGAGGGGAATGGTGCAGGTGGGTTCTCTTGAACCGGGGTTTGTCGGTCAATGGACTGCACTGGCAACTCTTCCAGTTCCTGCAAGTTATACGTCTTGATTTCCACTGTTGACTTTTGATCTTCTGAATCAACACTTGGCATTTTGTTTTGGCAGAGTATAGTCTCAATATCATCAGGAATGTCAGATGAAGTTTCAAAAAGGGAAGGCTCAGGCACAGATTCATAGTCTAGTTTGCATTCGTTGGGTGTCTCATCGAAATCAGTGATATTCTCAAAGGATTCTTGAACAGGAGCACTGATATTTTGATTATCTGTAAGACAGTCTGACTTTGAAAGCTCTGTTTTCTCACCTTTACTCTCCTTAACATAAGACAAATTCAGCTGGTCTTTTAAAGCAAGCTCTTCACTGGCGTAATGATCCAGGTATGTCTCTACATCACTGGGCTCATTTGAGGGGCAGCTGATGTCTGGTGGAAGGTCAGAAAGTATTTCTGCAGTCTTGTCAAGCTCTTTATCAAGGGTAGACTCTTTAAAGGGTTCAAAAGACACTAAATTCTGAGACATATGCGACTGCTCTTGAGAGTCCTCGAAATTCAGGCCTCCTGAGTCTGGGGAGGACTGGAGGAAAATGCCACTTTCATAATCATCGTCAATAACCTGGTGTTCAGGAGAGTGCTCAGCATCAGAGTCAGTTTGATTTACCTGAGAGGAAATGTCTTGGTCAGGTTTATGTTCTTCATGTAGAGTTTCCACAGATGCATGTTCTGAAACTTCTGAGTGGTGTTGCTCTGGTGACCCTCTGCCCTCACCTTGCAAAATCTGACACTTTTCACCATCATCCTCCTCACCTTCTACCTCAAACTGTTCTTCTTCCTCATCACTTAGCACTTGTTCCTCAGTTTCAATAACATTAATAATAGGTACCTGAATTGGCGGTTTCTTGTTGTTTGGAATGGTCTCCTCTTCCTTGTGGGTTTTGGTGTCTAGGTCATTGTTTCCCATTATTGGGATGCTCATGGCTTCCTCAATCACTGTATCATCCGACTCCCCAGAGCTGTCTACCTCCTGGATTTCAGCAGGCTCCAAATTTCCTTTCGAAATGTTGGAATATTGTGTAGAACTAGGTTCCATCTGTTGGGATACAGGGGGTAATGGAGACTCAAAGTCTGCAGGAGGAGCAGGGGAGGAAGGAAGCTCTTGGTTGTCTGGGAATATCTGACAGTCTTGAGTGCCTGTATCAGCTTTCTCTTGCTTGTCCCACATATAGGCTGTTGGTAAAAAGTTCAGGTCAAATTCAGAATCTTCCTCAACACTCTCTTGTTTTGATTGCTTGTTGAAATCCTCCTTTGATTGATCAATGTCATCTGCAACTTTGATAGGGCTGTCCATAAACTGATCAGGAACTCCTGCAAAAGGTTCTGGAACTTCACCTGTATCAACATTGTTTGCTTTAATCACTTTGGATGGGCTCTCTTGCACCATGGGGGACATCTCTTGCACCATGGGGGACACATTTTCCTCATCAAGAACTGGATCTTCAATGTTGAAATCTGGTGCAGGAGGTAAGTGAGCTCTCATCCAGTCAGCTGTGTCCTCAAAGTCAGTCATATGCCTTGCCTCACCAAGCACTTCGAAGGGTGATTCAGGAGATTCCTGTTCATTTGACATTGTCCTTTTCTGAAAGGACGAGCGGGAGGAAATTCCATGCAATTCTGTGGGGGATTTCTCATAGTGACGCTCTTTAAAATGTGGAAACCCCCCATCAAAATCATTCTGCTTTGCAGCTAAAGCTTCCAATGCTTTGATTCTCTCAGATACTGGTGAAGTTTTTATAGGTGAGTCCTGCTTTTGAGAGCCAAAAGATGAATCAAAAAGCTCTCGTTTCTCTTTGAAGGTACGGTCTATGTTGTCACCAGGTGATCCTGAAGATTCAATTCCACAAGCAACTGGAGAAAAGGAACTTGACTGAGGAGAAAATTGAAGAGAGGTAGCCAAATTTTCTGAAGGCTTGTCAGAGCCTAGTACAACTCTTTTGTCTGCATCCATCATGAAGCAGGAAAGAGGAGGAAAAGGAGGGTTGGAAATAAAGACAAACTCTACCTTAATTCTGATTTGCTAAAGCAGGGGACCATATTTGAAGCTCAGGTTTGTTTAGGGTTGTCTTTAACAAATTAAGAGCAGTAAAATTTCAAAGCCAAAGATCCCAACAACTTTAGCAATCAGCAGCTACACTGATACTTTATGTAGCATTCCCAAGATGCTTAATTGCTTGCATCCATTTAACTGAAGCTAAAGCGGTCATGCACACACTGCATGGTCCCACATATTAATGGATGGAGTTTGATGTCTGCATGCCAGCTTGATAATGTGCTGATACCATTGAGGAATCTCAATGACACATACAACGCTTCTTAATGCATTTAATTGATCCTATAGGGGCAGATTTACAAATTAATTTAGATGACATCCATAATCAAACAACAACCCCAAAACAAAGAAACAAACAAAACAGACAAACAGAAGTAGTAATCAATATCCTCAGTAAAATAACCAAATAATTTGTTAAATGATTAAAATACTATTATTGTGTAAAATACTACTAAATGGCTGTCTGAGCTATGCCTCAACTGTCTAACCATCTATTAAAATAAAAGAAAGAAGATAAATCAAATCATGGTGTAGATGACACAATGAGGCCAGGATTACAAGAGCACAGGGAATGCAGCAAAGTGAATGCTGGACTGGACACATGCTGAAAATGGAAATCCTGACCATTTTACCATGCAACACAATGGCTGTGTCCGAAAGCTGGAAAATTATGCCTTCACAGGCACTATGTGGAGGTACGCAGGTAACAATGCACATCCAATTACAATGTTTGTGTCACATTCTGTCCACTAAGATGCCTCCATCTCGTTGATCTATGCGTGCAGTTCGGCGATTTGTGGAAAAAGCTAATATGTAGTCTAAAAAGACGCATTAGAAGAGTAAATTAATTCATAAATATCCATTTAAAAAAATTGAGAAATAAGCATTAAAATATTTAAACATATGCATTAATTTGAATTTGCTTGTGTTGTATAAGATGTTACGGTGCCTTGGAAACCTAAGGAGGCACCTTTAAACACAAACATACCCTGTGAAGTCATACACTGACTGGGCTGAGAGGCAGCAAGCCAGTTCCCTTTCGAACACAACCCCTATGTTTTAATGTATGGCCTCATTGATTAGCATAACATTAGCTTTTCAGTCTTGGCTAAATGGTCCTGACTACAGATTAAAAATAATGATAAAAAGGGTCAAACTTATATCGTCCAAAATTATTTTTAAAAAAAGCTGTAAGATTAAGCTATATGCTAAGCAATATTTTTTAATTATAATTTCTTCTGAATCTTCTGTAGGTTGAGATAAAACAGGTTCCAGAGTGACAACCACATTCTAACATTCTAATCATTTTGTTCCTTCCCAAACCTGCCATTTCCTGGTTTTACTTTAAGATATAATCTTTGAATTTGCATGCTCTGGGCATAGTAGTGAAGTAGTGGAAAACTTTCACTGACAGAAACTACAATTTTCCTAAAGCCTTTTGAAAATAAATGCTTCTGAAAATAGATTCAAATTATAATAGTTAACATGTTATTGCTCACTACTGTTTAAACTAACACTTTTGTCCCTACATCTCTTCAAGATTCTGTTAAGGACAAGTGCCTGACACTAATTATGCAAATTAAGCATCACAGTTATGACGTGTCTTTTAAACAGTAATGCAATTCAGACTAGTTTCCTGTAAAAACTTCATTAGGCATGGGAAACAAAGATCCAAGTTTTCCATAATCTAAGTATCTAAACAAAGTTCTAGGTTTTACAGTTTTTTTTTAATAGCGGACTATTAACTGAAATAAATTTCTTCAAGATAACAATGTTCTAAACATTGTTGGGATACTTATATCTAAATATCTCAACATAGTGTGTGATATTTACTCAATCTACCCTTCCTATATATAAATGCTAAAATGATCAAACTCCTGTATGTAAATAGACAAGAAACAAAACAAGAAACAAACACAAACAAAAAGACTAAAACTTGAGGATTTCCTCTTACTCTGTGGTAAAAGACAACATGCAAAAGGCATGGGAAAAGCAGGTGAATATTCAGCCGCAGCAGTCACAGGGAAATAACCCCGAGCAGCGTCCTGTTGCTAGATCCCTCCCCAGTGTCGCTCTACCTTCAGGACCAGTGCGGTGTTGGGGTTGGAGCTCCAAACATGGCTTGCTGTGGGGGAGGGGGGACATCAAGGGCAAGAATCCTCAGGGAAACCAACCTGTTCCATTTTTAGGATTCTGCTCTCGCACAAAGTGAACTTGAACTTCTCTGCTATCTTAAAATAAGGTGGCAATCTTGGGATTAAGCTGGACCCACAGTAACGCTGACCTAAATCATGTTTGCAGTGGGTATAAACTGGAGCCGATTGAATTTCTACCATCTGTGGGGACTTAGCTTTCCCATTTTTAATCAGTGAACAGTGTCAGATGTGGGGTGTCGACAAGATGACAGGGTATACCAATGGTAAAAAGGGGGTAGCCACAAATTGTTGCCAGGATTCATTTAGGTTGTTGACTGGCTAAGTTCAACTTTTTAGAGTGGGAAACCCTATATTACAGGGTATTGTTAGTAAATATCTGGATTTACAGTCAAGAAGAGACCATGTTAGATCTAACAAGGCATTAAAAAATCAGCCACAGAAATGTGGATGACCTCATTTGAAGAACATTCATGAAGTGAATCCAAGTTTGAGGATTTCAGAAACTGTTGAAAACAGAAGGGACTTGGCTGTTATTATGGATTCCAACATGCATGATTGCAAGGGGTCACCATTAGAAACAGCAAGGGTCATGTTACAAGACTTCTGGTCAGGGAGGGTGGTTGCACTGCACAGTACACGGTCAAGTGGCGTGCAGGTGTGAGACTAACTATTAGCTTGATCATCCACTTTTATGTGAGAACTGAGTTATCACGACAGTACATATTGAAGGAGAGGACATTTCCAAATATTCCCCAGAAATGGGTTAGCTTCTAGCATCATAGATAAATACTTAATTCTTTTGGTTTCCGTGAAAACAATCAGTAGATTCCCTCTGTGTCCTCTGCTTCATTTCCTACGCTTAAAAGGAAGAACTCCAAAAGAAGCCACTACTGCGAGCATCTAGTCTGGTATAGAGGAGGAGAGGGTCACTGGCGAGAGGGATGGAGAGTGTCATAGCAGCAGCCCAGCGGGACATAGCATACTTAATAGAACAGATATGACAGAGGAGCATGAAGAGAAAGATAAAAGGTAGAGAAGCAGGCGAGCATCAGAAGAGAACTATACACTTGCCTTGAGGAGACTGAATGAGAGATACAGGCGAAGAAAAAAAGGAATCTGAAAAAATAAAATAGGACAGAAGAATGAGAAGAAAAGTCTCAGTATCCTTCTTATACTCTACATTTGAAAGGGGAAAATGTTAGTGAAATGCCCAGCGAAGCACCTTTTACATCTTAAGAAACTAAAAGAAGAAGAAAACAGCTGATAAAGAACCACCAGCACTTTCCTCGAAAACTTACATGACTTAAAAGGATAGTACTAGGCCAAAAAAGTAAAAATTCTATCATAATTTACTCACCCTTGTGTCGTTCCAAACCTGTACAACTTCTGCGGACCACAAAAGAAGATATTTTGAAGAACGTTGGGGGTCCAAACTACACTGGACCTAATTGACTTTCAATGTATGGAAACAAACAAACGAGACCGGTTTCAAAAAAATCTTTTGTTACACCCAGGTTTGAAATGACATAAATGTGAGTAAATAATGAGAGAATTGCACTCTTTTTTGGAAGCCTATCCCTTTAATCTAAAATTCAAGGAGGTTCTATGAGATTATCAACTGTAATTGCTGTAGTTAAATATTTCTGTGGTGTGACATGCTGTACTCGTCTCTTTCTAAAGCTATTTCAAAAAGCATTCCTCATTTTATGCATACAGCTTATATTTACTTGAAAAACTACACAAGAATACTTCACTTTTAAAAATTCATTTGTAACCCCAGAGAAGGCGAAAAGGTGTATGGAAGTTTTTTCTAAGAAAATCAAATTTACATATTAAATGGTCAAGGTCAAATGCTAAAATAATAAATCAAATAGTCAAATTGGCCTCCCATAGCTCATAACTAACAAGGCTCACAGGACCACTTTATAATATGAGTATCACATTATAGCTTTAATTATTTATGACTGGGTTGTACAGAATTGATCCTTTTAGGGGGGAAAAAATTCATAGTTTATGCAACCTTAAATAGGAAAATGAAATTGCATTTGAGCATCCATTATTACAATTTGATTTATTATTTGAAAATGTGAACATTTGATTTTACCATTTTAAGTTTGTTAGGAAAAAACTTCCATAAATATGATTTTAAATATGTACAAAAAGAAGAAATGGTGATGAGTCAAATTACTTAAAATATAAATTTTTGCTTATACATTAATATAACTTGATGCTTATTAAAAACATAACAAATATATATATAAAAAATGAAAAGTTAATTCATGTTATCCATCAACTACCCATTGGCACTTTTTTACTTAGTAGGAACTAAATCACATACACAACATCCCTCGATGATTCATCTGCATAGATTACTGAACATTACTTACTCACAATATTCAAACGGTGGAACTTTCTCATGGAATTTTCAATGATCCCTCCCATACTTTCTGACATCTATCCCTGCAAAGCACCCACATGTTGCACCATTGTGTTTTGTAACCTGTTAAGGGAAGCCATTTTTAGCCACACTTCAAAATTTCGTGTGGTTTGGAAGCGAACAATATTTGCATTCATCCAGAACTAGCCACTTTCAACAGTTAGGTCAATCATCAAGCTATGGGGGCAACACTAGGTCATCTAAATTCGATTAATATATCTTGGAATCTCAAAAAGAACAGGGAGTGCCACCAGTGAGTGGTGAGAAACAGGTTGATCTAGCACAGCAGTCTTAAGACATGGCAAGCTCTACTGGTCACAAATAAGGAGTGTACCCCTGCTTCACGACATTCTTTGCCCAAACCACACCTAAAAACTTTTAACTAAGTGACACGCCTTGAAACAATGTGGACACCAAAACCCTAACAAATCTACACACCCTCTATCATCTTGATTGAAGTTTTCTTTCCACTGCTTATGAGTCAGCCATATAGAATCTGCTTGATAGCAATAACCATCTGATGCAATTTGGGCATCACAATCTGACATTGATGGTTGGCTGGTAATGTTTAACTGGCAAACATTTAATAAGGAAATAAGGTGAAGGACATGATAGCTAGATACTATCTATTGCAAGGGCAAAGGTTAAATGCACCAAGATGGCTTGTGTTACAGGGCGGCGCTTAAAGTGGGAACAGATTGGCCTCTTGACACTGGAAGTGCCTTGCGTGGCATCTCTGTCATGCCAGTAATATCAGCTCTATTCCTGAGGGGACTGAATCATGACACCCAAAGCTTTAAGACTGCTGCCTCATCAGCTGTGATCAGCTCTGACCTTAGGCATCACACCCAGACAGAAGAGAGAGGCCGATAGAGGCTGACAGTATTGATATAAGATGAGTTTGTCTAGTTGATCGGGTAAAAATATCATGGTCCCATTTAGAATGATGTATTTTTAATGGATTGTTCTGGGTTGAATAAAAGTTAAGGTCTTCCAACAACATCTAGGGGTTGTTGACATGACATGCCTTTTATTGTGGCATGCTACATATCATCTAAAGTTAGCAAAATGCACATGTATATTGGGCGATGTCTACCAAATTGGCATCAGATGATGATGTCTATAGTGAAACATCGCGATGGATTTGCCTGTTTGGCAACATTTTGGATTTAAACCCAATGCAAATAGTTAACCTCACTAACCTGCTAAGAATTAGTTGTGTTTTTCTATTTGTTGTGCGGCCCCGAGTTGGCGCTAATTCTAAAGTGCAAGTAAAATGCGCACGGCATTCATAACGGTGCGTGTCTGTCTAGCAGCAGAGCGTTTATGGAAGCTCAACTTCTATAGGAATTCATTGAAAAGGCTCCCTCTGCTCCGCACCGTTATGAATGGCTGTGCGCATTTTACTTTCGCTTTCTGGCCAGAAACCTTGATATTTAAACTTGTTTTTTGTTCTAACCACTGTCTACCATGGTAAAGCTACGAAGAAGGCATATTTGGTGTAGCTTATTTAATCTAACTTAATTTAAATTATTTTGAAGTTTGTTGCTGTTTTTGTAAGCTTGGTTTAATTCGTGTAAAACATCTAGTAGCCTCAAATTTTTTTTTTTTTTGCACAAAATCTTTACTGTTTAAATTGTGTTAATTGAACTGTTTTGAATGTAATTTGTATTGTGATATTGTAAAATTACCTAGGCTAATATCTAAATGTCTTTTAGCCACTGCACTATCGGCCCAACCCTAATATATATATATCATTATATATAATTAATGACAGAATTTTCAGTTTTGGGTGATCTAACCCTTTAAAATTGTGAGGTAAACGCTATTTTACTTAGTCAAACAATCATACTTAAAAATATGTTTGAGTATGTTGAAAGTTGTTACAACGTTACTCTGTGGCTGGTATGAGACAATTGTTGCACACTGCAGTAAGCTAGATTGATATTAGAAATAGAATATCATATTAATAAAAGCTGGATAACTTGTGTTGCTTAATGGCATGCAAATTCATTTTATGAAAATGCTGAATTATGGCTACTACAAATAAAGCTTCATGTGTTTAATGTTAGCCATTTGACAAAATAGTGTTGTCTCTGAGGCATTGACATGGTACAAATATGTTACTCGCAGTAAATCAAGAAAACGAGATTCAAACAGTAAGACTAACCGTGTTGAGCTATATAACAATGATTCGTTTTCTGTCAATAAAGTTGCTCAACCGTTTCTGCCAAACAGTTGCTCACCTGTCAAATAATACACATAATATATTAAAGTGTCTTTGATGTTTTCATGGTTTCTACGGAAATAAACTCGGAAATCGAGGGTAACGCCCGAGGGATATGACGTCATTGAATAGTGAAGCAATGACAGGCCGTTACACTGGTTAAAATAGCTGATTTCACTGGATTTAAACGTTGTTGGAAACATTTGGGATCATGTAAGTACACAAGTCAACAAAATATATAACATTGTTCTAATGGTTTTTGGAAATTTTAATCCAAAAATCTAACATATTGTGTCTTTAAAAGAAATGGTGAGTAATCAGAATGCCTGAAATTTACAATTTGCCTTATACATTCATTAACTCATTTAAAAGGCAACTATTGCACGCTTGCTCTATAGATTTCCAAATGAAAGTGCGTAACTGATAATTAACAGTCACAGATGCTATCGATGGAGCTTAACCTGAATTTAACCCAGAATACTACATTAAAAACAACACTTGGCGAAGTCTGGCATTATTAACTTCCTTATATACTTATGTAGGTAGAATTTGTGTAACGTTATGATCTGTCCAGTGACAATGGCACCCGCACAGGCATCTCAGAGGGACATACTGCAGCTAAATTTAATCATCTGGTTCAATATGTCACCTTCACATATGGTATCGGTGTTAACAAGCCTGTAAGACAGTCATAATGTCTACATCATTCCAGCAATATTCAGATTCTAACCCCTAACTGAACTCAATGCGCTTAAGCTCAAGAGCCAAACAGCATATGAAGGAGTCAAACATTTTAAACCGTGCTTAAAATTCAGAGAAGGCTGACCGACGTCATGAGTCTTAACTTCCCGTCCTAATTCTATTAGATTCCCAGACGCCTAAATAAAGCCGAACCAAGGAGGACAGAAGCGCTCCATATATGCTGACGACCTAAAAAGCAGTGAACCAACATCCATAGTCAACAAAAACCACACGGTATTGTTTTCACAACGGAAAAACATACAGGGCCCGAACAAAGGACATCGTGTCATTTCAAAGAATGATTGATGGACAAATGGATGGAGCTGCATCTATTAGTGCAATGTTTTTTTTTTTGCTGTTGTTTTTTGCCGTTTCTAAAATATAAAAATGATCGCCTTTAAGATTTTTTACACAGCATGCAAAATGACAAGCGATAAGAAATTATTAACAAAGCCATCAGACTTGACAGTAGCGAATCGGTTCTTTTATATAGTTCGTTTTAAAGAACCGAAAGAACGCCATGACATTATTATTACATCTCAGACTTGGCATTTACATAATTTAAACGTACCAATAGCAATATGTAGGCGTATACTCTTTTTAAAGGCGTTTATTTTAATGTCACATATGTCCTTATTCAGTATGTTGCAACCATTATTCAGTTCATAAAAGTAATTTAGAACCCAAATATGTTGAATTAATTGAACAATTTAAACATTATGGGTTGAATCAAGAACCGATTCAGTTCTGAACATCCAATCGATTCACTGACAAGACCCGACTCAAAATAACGATTCATAATTGGTTCTAGACAGCTCTATTGATTATTCTAGCTTTGTCACGTCGCTAGAAATGTAGATGGGGTGTGTAAGCAGTTTTTCCCTTCATTTACACTGTCCTCCAGTCTCGGATGCATCTGCACTGCAGATGATCAGCTGAGCCGCAACATGTGCCCATTTCAGTTCAAAGCAGTATTATGTGTCCCCATATTTCTCCATGGCCTTTTCCTAAAAATAAACGTCAGGTCAAAGCAGTGGATGAGAACACATTCATTCGGAGTCCCACATCCGCCATGCATGCCATGTTAGGCTATCCCTGCAAAGTGTAGATTCATCAATAATCTTTCTATTATGCCAAAGGGAGGCGATATGGAAAGTGTACGTGAGAAATAAACAGTGCAGGACTCTTGCATAACGCCAGAGAGTTCCAGTATTACCTTCAAGGCATTTTAAACATGTGCATACATTCAAATCGACTGGCTCAGCTCGTATTGTCCTCAAACTCACTATTCAGCGCGACATTTCCATTTAGAATTAGAATGGTACCATTTAGAATGTTAATAAAACAACACACAACCTAAATTGAAAAACAAACAGAACCAACTCAACGACACTGTTGTATGACGTTCACGTTCTCTTACCGGAAAACTTTGAGTCTTTGGCCGTTGCAGAATGTCCATCGTTTAGGCCTTGTGACGACGAAATCTGAGAAGATTGGGTCATTGGGTCTGCCATTTTTGTCGTGTTGCTCTACGGGGTCTGTAGCGCAGAGGTGGTGTCGTTGAGGTTGTGGCTGTTGGTTGTTAATCTGAAGGTTCCCGATTCACCGAGTATTTCCCAACACAGCAGCGGCGTCACCGAGCCTGCACAAGCACATTAGGTGAACCTGCCTGAATGTTGCAGTGGATGGGGGCGGTGTAAGACAGACAGGGCGGGTACAGAGAGAGAGAGAGAGAGAGAGAGAGAGAGAGAGAGAGAGAGAGAGAGAGAGAGAGAGAGAGAGAGAGGTTCGTCATAAAACAATTTTGCTTTCGGAAGCTTCGATATTCTTCCACACGCCTTCCTTTTCCTTCATCTGTCCCATACATTATTATTGTAAACAAATGCTTTCTGTATTAAAGTATGATCTAAAACCTATATCCATACATTATCATCAGTCATTAATCTTAATATCAACCTGAATTGCAATTCCTCTTTCTATTCTGCCGCCTCAAGCATCACAACAGTCGTTATTAACCCTGAAACCTACGAACAGTTTGAATTAGGTTGATGTCTAATCCATCCTCGCCTACTACTGTGTCTAGAAAAGATACAGTAAACACTATGTAACTCTATAGGCCGTGATTATGTAATGGTTTCGCATTTGTCCATTTGTACGCTAAATGCTGGGTCAGTATTTCATTTCTTGTGCAACAGCGCTGTCATTTGGTTGCTAACAGACATGTCTTCTTTTGCATGTTATGATGGGGCACAAGGGGCTCGATTAGACTCTTTTTTACAGTCCATGATTAGACTACATTTCCCTCAGTTTCATACGGTATTTACTTTGGTATCGACAAAAAAAACAATATATATATATATATATATATATATATATATTATAATTGTAGGCCTACATAATAATTAATAAAAAAAAAAAATTAAAATATATAATATATATATATTATATATATATTATATATTTAAATTTTTTTTTTTTAATTAATTATTATGTAGGCCTACAATTATAATGTACGCTAGTTGCAAAAACAGAACCATAATGTTAACCCTCTAGTCAAAATTTTAAGATTTTTCTGAATGGTACAAAATTTGGTAAAGGTTTTGGCAATTGCTGTGTGAACAAAAAAATAATCATCGACATGATTCGGGGTCAGGTCTAAAGGTTAAATGGTCCTGAAAAAATAGTCACACTTGTATTTCATCTATTAGAAATATTTGGTACTGCGCCCAAACAGCCTTACTGAAAGCTAAAAAATTTTTTTTAGATATAGAGTAAAATTGGAAAATATTTCATATAAAAATTGAAAATGGTATTTTTGTGCATTTTTCATAACATTAAATGTAAAAATTATATTACTTTTTTTTAAATTCACTTCGTCAATAATCTGCCAAATGTGCCCTTTTTAAAAGAGACCAATCTTAAGTCTGTGCTCCAGAGCATTCAAGATTTATGACCATTTAAGTTGTAAATATAATTTTCTGATCCAAGTGAATAAATGGATTATAACTACTGCATAAATATAATTTAGTACCATAAAATCCCCTAAAAATACAAAATATTAAATAAAAAACATTATCGAACAAAAAAAATAGTACAATCATTTCATTGAACTAATCTTTTTTTTAAATGTAATTTTTTGACTGACACGCGAACAGTACCAGAGGGTTAAAGTCCACATGAAATCAACATTTTCCGCTTTTAGTATGAATATGTTACTGTTATCTATAAGCTAGTGTGCTCCATAACAATGACAACATTACATTTAGAACGTACAGTCTCTCACATCTGCCCATATGGATCAATGATTTTGATGACATCACTCTGCACTTCAGCTTCTCATCAGATTTTCTGTCCAATCAAATGCTCTCGATTCTGAATCGCCCTCCGCCCCCTACATTATAAGTAGATGCTGAAATTGCTATAATTGGTCACTTGATCACACATTTAGGCCTACTATTTTCTACATGGTGAATTGCACATAGCGCACTATATAGGGGACAGGGAACGATTCAGACAGTGTATACAGTATATGCTTTCATTGGGGCGACTGAAGTCTGGTTTCAGGTTAGGTCATGTGAACCGCCGCAGCGCACACAGTCTGCTCCGGTCCAAAGACAGAGAGTGGATCATATGTGCGAGTCGGCGCAGACCAGAAAACATATCAGACTCATTTGAATTTTGAATCCATTTGAATATAGCACAGAGTGCTGTATTTTAAACCGATATGGACGAGATTAGGAAGATGCTGTGGTACTGAGCTAAACGGCTCTGGCCGAGCAGTGACATAAACTAAACGCTATTTTAAAAAGGGGAGGAGCTGTTGGATATGTCCGGCCCTGCCCTGGCACACTGAATAATGCTGTATGTTTCAATGCACTTCAGTGGGCATTTGTGTCAGGCTAGTATGACCAACTAGCGATTAGTCAAGGAGAATCAGTCTTTTTAGTATAAAATTAGACCAATCTAAATGTTTATGTAGCTGACTTAAAACAGTTATGAACAGTCTTAAAGAAAAAAATGTATGACTAACTTGTAAGACTAGTCTTAGCAATAAAAATGAGGCAATAAAATAACAGACATAATGGACCTGATGGTTGAGAAGAGAACCTACAAGTCAAGGCAGAAGCAAAAGAAAAAACACATTTATTACTACAAAGTGGCACACAAGTTTAGTTACGGAAATCAATTAAAACATTAACGTTTTATACTAGATGCCAGAAAGTATTATAACGCGCACAAATATATATATATATATATATATATATATATATATATATGTATATATATTAGGGCTGTCAAATGATTAATCGTGATTAATCACATCCAAAATAAAAGTTTTTTTTACATAATATATGTGGGTGCACTGTGTATAATTATTTTGTATATATATAAATACACACACGTGCTTGTATATATTTAAGAAATATTTTCATGTATATACTGTATATAGATTTATATATAATTTATATTATATATAAATATAAATATTTTATATATAAATAATATTTTTTTCTTAAATATAGTATATATATATATATACTCCGTCGATATTACATATTATTTACACTCCAGACCAGTTGATGGCGATAATGCACCAAAACCAGGTTTACCAGCAACCGTCTGCCTGCAGTCCCGGAGGCTGCATTTTCAGGACCCCACTTCTAGGACCGCATTTCTAGGACCCTAGTTTTTTTGTGACAGCGCCACCTACCGAGTCGGAGAACCGCAGTCCCAGGAACGCATTTCCAGGACCCTAGTTTTGGAGGAACGAAAAAAGTGCCACCAAGGCAGTATCTCCACCCAGTTTTAACTACATTAGAGTTTTTTAAAAAGTTTTATTACACCCAAATACTACTTTCTTTATTGCAATTAAACCAGGTTCCTAGGAATGTTGAGAAATTGGGTCTAAGTAGCATACTATAATATAACTCAAGTAAAATAAACAAGGAATCATGTTATAGCCTTTTCAGTCACTCGATGGACCACATTTTCAAGTACAGAGGGAAGACAAGGATGACTCAGGGGGTAGATTGATTGTGTATTTTACAAAATAATATATAACACTTGAACTTGAACACACAAAATCTTTTATAAAATAATATATAACAACTGAAATTGAACACACAAAATATTTTACAAAATAATATGTAACAACTGAACTTGAACACACAAAATCTTTTATAAAATAATATATAACAACTGAAATTGAACACACAAAATATTTTACAAAATAATATGTAACAACTGAACTTGAACACACACAAAAACAAATTTGATCATGACGTGAACCACTTCAATGGATGGACAAACACATGGACAACATCATCACTGACTCCTAAGAGAGAGAAAGAGAAGTGAATTAAATAAGGAACATTTAGTTGAACATGTTCTACTCTCTAATTTTAAATTTCATATTTAAAAGATCTTAGTTACCACAGAGTAATGATAATGATAAAAAATAATGATATCAATCTTCATACCAATTACTGTTCATAATACAATTATTGCATACTGTTCAAAGATTTGGAAAAAAAAAATGATTTTGATGTTGTGGGAACAAAGGTTCTAGAAACACTCATGTCAATAAAGCCCATCTGAACTGAGAAAAAAATAATAGAGAGAGATGCAAGAAATCTGAATAGAAATAACATTATTGACACGACTTTTCCTGACCATATATAGGTAGGCCTATACAGTAAATGACACAATCTAACACGTGGGATTTTAACAGTCAATTATTATAATGGCCTCTCTGATATGTCTGACTATTAAAATGTCATATGTCTCAACCAACTTTATAAAACCATGTCAAAATGAAGAGACGTACACATAACATGTATTGTGGGTAACGTTAACAGGCTTACTGTGAGCACGTGACAGTGAAAACATTACGATTATTTTAACTGAATTAAAATGGAAAAACAATGAGTAATTAACAAGCTTTCAGAACGAACATGGTACAGTTTATTGTGCTGTAAGTAAGTCAACACAGGCTTAGCCTATCATGCAACAGCTCCGTTAAATGAACCGTAGTATTTCATTTTCCAGCATTAGAGGCTAGTATATGATGGCTATGCATTCAAGACTGTTTAGCAAATCACCAGCACGTTGGCAACGTTAACTTTCCAATGAAATGCATCACAATTGTTTTTAAAGTTAAACAAATAAAAATTGATTCGCATTTGATACTCACACTCTGAATGTCATCCATTTTCGCTGGTCCTCTAATTCGGTAGGTGGCGTTGTCACTAAAAACCTAGGGTCCTAGAAATGCGGTCCTAGAAGTGGGGTCCTGAAAATGCAGCCTCCGGGACTGCAGGCAGATGCTACTCCATTAATGCGCAAAGATGACGCAGAGGACTACATTTCCCAAAGTGCTTGTAGATAACAGGAGGAAGTACTTTTTATGTCGCTGATATGTTCACAATAGGATAAGCATAACTCAGCCGATTCAACGTTTTGACGCACGAACAGATTGTGTATGTCTCCGGTGTTTTGTAGGAGTGTCCGTCTCTCATCTGCGCGGCAAAAGCACGGGGCAAAACAAAAGCATGTGGATGTAATTTCAACAAAGGTATGTAGTGAGAATGAAGCCAAGCAACGCTTTATTGTTTCGAAAGAAAGCAGAGACCAATCTGCTCACTGTAAAACGCCATTTAAGCTGGAAAAACACCAGAAACTGATATTATAGAATAAGCTAGCTAGCTGAAGCATCATGACGCAGATGATGTCGCCCAGACTCACATGTGTTGCAGTTGCGTTGTTTTCATTGCTCAAATTTCAAACACTGGCTGCTTTAAAAAAAAATAATATCTGGGTTATCGTTATAGTATAGTATACAGTTAGACAGTAATTCAGTATATATTACACTCTAACTAATCATAATTTAACAGGTATTCAACCAGTTAATACACAACCAGTTTTAATGTCATGTTCAGCCAGCCCAAAAGCTTAATTTTGGAATTAAACGTTTACTTGTAATATTTAATGTTAATGTTACATTTTAAGATGTGGTCTCTGGGACACATGTCTCTGGGAATTCCCCTAGCCTAGATTATATTGACTTCGTTCTTGGCCTCTTTTAAACCAATAAGTATCATAGTTTGGACATTTACTAATACATACTTTGGAGTACCATGTCAAAAATAAATAAATGGTAATTATACAGTACCATGGTATATATTAATGTACTTTAGTATAATAGAACTGTAACTATACGATGGCAATGCCGAATAATTATTTCCTAATAAGCAAAGAATAGCCTAAACTGCTGCCCACACTATTAGACAAGACATACATTCTTTGTACTTAAATTAAAAATTAAAACACATTGTGTGTATAATATTTATATTATTTCTTTATTTTTTAAGATTACATCAGACTGGGATTGAACTCAACCACTAGCCATGGGGATTCGGTCGGCTCAGAAGAAGCATTTCCCTCTTCGGGGCATTGATGGAGTGGTGCAGCTTTTCGAGTCCGAGCTTAACAACCCAGAACCAGACTTGGCCCTGCTATCCCTAGTGCTGGGTTTCGTAGAGCACTTTCTCGCTGTCAACAGAGTTGTTCCCGTCAATGTCCCGGGCGTTCGCTTTGAACCTCTTAAACCTGATAGTCCCAACTCTTGCTTCCCCACAGTCGAGCTGAATCTCGTATCTGCCCTTTATGAACGCTTCCTGGCCCAGATTCGTGGTGCCGTGGACATGTCCCAGTACCGCAAACCGACTGGCGGCTCCAGCCGTGAGCTTGTGAAAAAGGTCTCAGATGTGATCTGGAACAGTCTTAGTCGGTCGTATTTCAAGGACAGGGCACATATTCAGTCCCTCTTCAGTCTCATCACAGGTAGACTTTCACACACTGAATGTTTAATGACAAATCAAAAAAATCTGACCATGTATTGTAGATTAATATTGCATCTGTGTCTCTCTTTCTGTAAGGTACAAAGCTGGACAGCTCAGGAGTAGCTTTTGCAGTGGTAGCTGCATGTCAGGTGCTGGGCCTGAAGGATGTTCATCTCGCTCTCTCGGAAGATCATGCCTGGGTCATCTTTGGCAAGGGTGGGGAAGAGACTGCAGAGGTCACATGGCATGGGAAGGGCAACGAAGACAGAAGAGGTCAGACTGTCAGCGCTGGAGTCAATGAAAGGGTACGTAATGTTCTATTATTCATGATAATAAATGTTATTTGTGCACCAAATCAGCATATTCAAATGATTTCTGAAGGATCATGTGACTGAAGACTGAATGAGTGATGATGCTGAAAATTCAGCTTTGCCATCACAGCAATAAGAAATATATTTACATATTTAAATTGTAGTAATAGGCTATTTCACAGTATTACTGTTTTTTTTTTTTTTTTTTTTTTTACTGTATTTTTGATCAAATAACTGAAGTTTTACGACTCCAAACTTTTGAACGGTTGTCTAAATGTGAGACAATTCTTTAACTTTGAGTTTTCATGTTGTAAATCTGTGCTTCATTTATTTTTTTTCTCTTTCTCCTTAGAGCTGGTTATATCTTAAAGGCTCCTACATGAAGTGCAACAGGAATATGGAAGTAGCGTTCATGGTTTGCGCCATCAATCCTTCTCTAGATCTGCACACAGACAGTACAGAGTTACTCCAGCTCCAGCAAGTATGTCTTTTTATTTGTTTTAAACTTTCATTACATCATTCTACGTTTCCTGCATTCTATTGGCTGCTCTATCTATAAATGTCTATTATGTACTGTTCACTGTATCTATGTTTATACATATGCATATTTATCTATCTATTGTCATCCAGATTTTCTTTCTCTCTTCAGAGGCTGTTGTGGCTGCTGTATGATCGAGGTGATTTGGAAAGGTATGACTCGTTTCTTATTAATCAGAGCACTCATTTGATCTGATTATTGTATATAACTCTTTCTGAATGTGTGTTGAAGGTATCCCATGGCAATGGGCACTTTGGCTGACCTTGAAGATCAGGAACCCATGACTGGCAAGGAAAGCCCTCTCTCTATTCACCTTAAGGTATATATGATTACAGCTATATCAATATATACATCACAGATATTTACAAGGTTGTCATTTATTAAAATTGCACTATTCTGTTTTGCTTTCCCTTAGGCTGTTGACTCGGCTAAAAAATATTACAACAACGAGCACATCTACCCTTTCATGTATATAGCAGGGTACTATTACAGGCACAGAAACGTCCAGGAGGCTTTGCGTTCCTGGGCAGAGGCTGCATCAGTAATGCAAGAGTAAGTCAAGCATCATAGAAATCTGACCATGGAATGATATTGATTTTGTTTTTGTTTTTGTTGTGTCTGTTAAAGTAATTCACTTTTGAAAATGCAACATATTCGTTATTTTAATTAGACTTTAACAGCAGAGGGCAGTGTTCATTTGTTACTGGTGCATACATTTTATTGCTTATTAAACTCATTAAAGGGATAGTTCACTTCAAAATGAAAATGCTGTCATCATTTACTCCCCCTCAAGTTTTTTCAAACCTGTATGAATTCCTTTCTTCTGCTGAACACAAAAGGAGATATGTTTAAGAATGTCGGTAACCAAACACTGGATGGACCCCATTGACTTCCATAGTATTTTTTTTTTCCTACTATGGAAGTCGATGGGGTCCATCATCTGTCTGGTTACCGACATTCTTCAAAATATCTTCCTTTGTGTTCAGCAGAAGAAAGAAATTCATACAGGTTTGAAACAACTTGAGGGGGAGTAAATGATGACAGCATTTTCATTTTGAAGTGAACTATTCCTTTAATGCTTGTAATGCATTCCTAAGTAAAGAATTTATGTAAAAAGGCTGAATTTTTTACTACTGCACAGTCATGATTAGATGACAATATGAAAACGCATCAAGCCTCTTAAATGTTCATGCAAAATGGAAAATGTGTTGTTTGCCAGCATTGTCTGTGTTGCCTCATGCTGTTTGTCCTTAGTCTGTAGAAAGCTCATTCCTGTCTTAGCCTTGGCATGGGTCCCTGTCGACAGAAACAATCTGTACTTTCCTCCCTCTAAACACAGTGCAGTGGACGGACAGAGTGCTAAAAATACTTGATTCTAAAGTCCTAAAGGATGTCTGCACAAAGCACGCCTAGAACTACTGCTCACTCCCATCCACTTCCTTTTCCTGCTCTTCCTGTTTCCTCTTCCTTCATGACAACATTAGCTATCTCCTACCCTCTGTCTCTCTGACGTATCTTCATTTTGTTCGTGCATATACACTGCCATTCAAAAGTTTGGGATCAGTACGATTTTTTTTTTAAGTCTCTTCTGCTCACCATGGCTGCATTTATTTGATCCAAAATATATTAAAAACTGTAATTTTGTGAAATATTATTACAATTTAAATTAACTTTTTTCTGTTGTAATATATTTAAGAATGTAATTTATTCCTGTGATGCAAAGCTGAATTTTCAGCATCATTACTCCAGTCTTCAGTGTCACATGATCCTTCAGAAATCAATCTAATGTGCTGATTAGCTGCTGAGGAAACTTATAATCTTATTATCGATGTTGAAAACAAGTTGTGTTGATTTTTTTTTTCAGGATTCTTTGATGAATAGAAAGTTAAAAAGAACAGCATTTATCTGAAATTGAAATCTTTTGTAACATTATAAATGTCTTTACTGTCTCTTTTGATCAATTTAATGCACCCTTGCTGAATAAGTGGTCATTTCTGTATTATGTTACAAAAGCTTTCTATTTCAGATAAATGCTGTTCTTTTGAACTTTTTATTCATCAAGGAATCCTGAAACAAATTGTTTTCAACATTGATAATAGTCATAATCAAAAAAATTCTTGAGCAGCAAATTAGCATATTTAAATGATTTCTGAAGGATCATGTGACTGAAGACTGGAGTAATGATGCTGACACAGAAATAAATTACCGGTACATTTTAAAATATATTCAAATAGAAAACAGTTATTTTTAAATTGTAATAATATTTCACAATATTACCGGTTTTACTGTATTGAGACTTCTTTCAAAAACATTAAAAAATCTTACCGATCCCAAACTTTTGAATGGCAGTGTATGTACACTATATACATGTATAAATGTGTATATATGAAATATTTATATTGTTAAGAACAAAAGATAATATATAATCCCATTATTTTTTATTTTATTTTTTTGGTCTACAGTTACAACTACTGCAGAGAGGATGAGGAGATCTATAAGGAGTTTTTTGACATTGCTAATGATGTCATTCCCACCCTTCTTAAAGAGACAACAACTGCTGCTGAAAGTGGTGGCGAAGGGGCTGATGAAATGGAAAAAGAGGTCTTGTTTAATTAAGCATTATAGAAAACACTTTAAAAAATAAATAAATATATATATTATTTAGAGCAAGGTTGTAAACAAGTCTTTCTCTTGTCCTCTATTCATGCTTTTACCTCAAAGGACCAGCCCAGACAGGTCGCTGCTTTGTCTGCCCTTCAGGACCCAGAGTGCTTTGCTCACTTACTCCGGTTCTATGATGGGATTTGTAAATGGGAAGAAGGAAGTCTCACGCCAGTGCTTCATGTAGGCTGGGCCACCTACCTGGTTCAGTCCCTTAGTCGCTTTGATGCACAGGTAAAATCCCTCGATTTTCTCAATAGACCCTTTTCACAGACTTTCAACAGTAATTAACATCCTAAATCTAGTGAAGTATTTCATGTTTTAATTTTAAAAAAGTAATATACATGTAATTTATGACGCTAAACTTTGTGTTATATTACCTTGGCAGTAAATTACAAAAAATGAATTAAAATCTAATACAACAGCTTCTCTCTTCTGACTGCTGTAATCAATTTCAAAGTATTTTTTTCTCTCTTTTACAAAGTTGTTGAAAAGTTATCATGAATTTTTTCTTTGGCCATTGGAGCGGATTATAAATTTATAATATTATAAATTATATTTGCTGTCGTCTCCCCTTTACAACTAAATAAGTTTACCTAAATATGATGACTTCCACTTCTGAGAACCCTGGAAATGTGAAAAGGGTCTATTTCAAGTTTTATTAAAATGCCATTTATAATCAGACTCTGTGTATTCACTCTTTCTCAGATTAGGCAAAAAGTGTCAATCATCACCAAAGATGCAGAACCAGTGGACGACGATGATCAATCCAGCGAGGACCCGCGTGAGGGGCGTAGACGGGTCCCGAGGCGAGAATCCAAGTTAGATGAGCAGGCAGGACCATCGTCTCCAAGTGCAGCATTGCCCGCTCAAAATCCAGTTCCCAAAAAGGTGGGCGGAGAAGGAGGACGGCGTCGTTCCTCTGCTGGCACTCGAGGTAAAGAGTCCGATGGCAAAAATGAGCCATCATCCCCGAGTCCCACACCTTCACCTTCCCAGCCACCCATAGTGCAGGGAGGGCCGGTGGTGGCTTTCCACAGTGAGAAGATGAAGGGTATGAAGGGGCTGCTTTCTGCGGCCAAGATCAACTCTAGTGCCATTAAACTGCAGCTCACGGCTCAGTCTCAAGTGCAGATGAAGAGACAGAAACCCACACCTTCTGGAGATTACACCTTGTCCTTCATGAAACGCCCTCGCAAAACTCTTTAAAACGCCAAGTTTTTCTCACTTCATTTTCACCTGGAGTGAAGTTCATTAGTTTGCCTGGAAAAGACAAATGTTCTTTACAAGTTCATTACAAGTTGAAGTCAGAAAACTCATCTATCATGCACCAGCAGTTTTGGTTTATTATTTGATAGCATAAAGTAATTTTATTAATTTGTCTTAAATCTGTATAATTACTATAAGTTCTATATGAAAAAAAAACCTAGATTAAAACAAGCCAAAGTGATTATTTTGTGTTTATCAGGTTATTAGAAAAGATGCTATTCTTTTGTCTGCAATACAATGAAACTTCTGAAATTTCTGTGCTTCACAAGTCTAATGTATTTAACAAATTATTGGAGTTTCCAGCCTACTTGAGTAGGTCTTGCACTTGTTCTGTTATTCTCCACATAACTGCTGGATTTCATAAGTGGTCTCAAGGATACAGTAGTGCCATAGCAAACTTTGCAAAAACAAATTGCAGTGATTGTGTAAAAATTATTTTCTCAATGTTAAAGTGTATTTTCCATTAAATAAACAACTTGAATAAATCTAGTGAGTTTTACTGCCTTTAATTTACTGTCATGCACGATGTGAGGGCTTATCTTTGCCCTTTGATGCTTTGCACATGCGCAAACGCAGCGAACAGTATTGCGTCTAGTGATGGGTGAAGCCCGCTCTCAAGTCCACGAATCGGTTCTTTTGAATAGTTAATTTAAAAAAAAGCGGTTCTTTTCCGTCATTATGAGATCTCTGACTTGCTACCGTGCTCAAAACGTTTTAAATAAAGTCGTACAGGCATGTAGCCTATTTTTTTTGCCGCATCGTTTACTTTTCGTTAAAAATGTGTTTATTGTAATAATCCCAGTTCGGTTTCTTGGCCTACTGCCATAATTCAGTTTATCAAATCATAAAAGTAGAACCTATATTTCCATTAAACAGTACACCTACCTACCTACATCCATGTACATCTTTGATTGTCCCCTCGGTGCAAATAGGACATGTTCGGAAAAAAAAACGAGAACTGCTCGGACCTATTTTGCGAATCGATTCATCTAAAAGATCCGACTCCAAAGAATGGATTTCTACTCTACGGGTGCGCGAGTGTGAGAAGGACAGGCAGAAATATTACAAGGCGAAGTCAGTGATTACTGGTAGACTGGATGTGAACATTAATATTTGTCTTTGCATTGCATAACGTAATTAAATCTATACAGTTTTATCGTTGACATTTTCACCACTTTTGATGAGAAGCGCACCAGGATGAGATGAGTTTACTGCACATCAAACTGTGTGACAGCTGTCATGAATAAGTGAAACATAAAGAAATCTGCTGGCATGAATACTATAGGAGTTTCATTTTTGGATCCGTTGGATGATTATGAGATTATTCATCAGATCGGGAGCGGCACCTATGGAGATGTCTTTAAGGTGAGAATGAAGCTGTTTTTTTTTAGGTGACCATTTTTTCATGTTTTAAGCTTTAATCTAATGTCTACGTTTTAATGCATGCTTCACTGTAAAGATGTGAAAACACAAACACCTTGCCTTTTGGGTTACTAGCACGAATCTACCAAAAATTGCATTACCATTCTTTGGACGTGGTAGCCTATCAATGTGTTTTTATACATATTTTATGTTAGTGTCATGGAAATACTAGAAATATTATTCAGCATCATATTAAATGTCAAGGTACCATCTGATGTCTCATTGTACCACGGTCCTGCCTCAGCAAGTTTTTGTAAGGGGAACCTTGCTGATATTGACATTTTTTTAATTTATTTTTTACTTGTTGTTAATGTCCTTGTTTATGGTGCATATTTCAAGGAACCCGAGCCATGATATTACTTGACTGACTGGACTGTTTAGTTTTCTAAAGTGATAGTACTCATGTGTTCAAAGACACACACTCCATCCAACACATTAAACACTAATAGATGCACACAGACATAATGTTGCACCTTGGTCCCCATACTATTTTTTTTTTATTAGCTTATGTCTAAATGTCTTTGTTAGGGCATCTAGGTCATTCTTTTCAACAAAATATGTTTTAACGTAAGTCGATCTGTCTTCAATGATTATCCTACATGCAAAAAAGCCCTTTCCAAACAGAAAAGCATAGGTAAAAAATAGATGCGATATAATGTAGTTTGTGATTTTAAGGATAGCATATTGGCTCAGAAATTTGACTCGACTTAAAAGAGATCTTACTAGCTCAACCGCAACATTTATGGAATGTCACAAATCTTGACCTTAAAACCAAGACTCTCGCAGGTGTGGTGTTATTCTCGAATAAGTTTATAAAGTGAAAACGTGTGTTTTCTGCCTCTTTTATAGGCCTATATGTTTCCTGAAGTAATGTGGAGATTGTGTCACTCTTGCAATCCCTAACACAGTCCACTTTATCATAATTCAGTGGGTGAGCCAACAACACTTACAATGCCCATCACACAATGCACAAAGAATCCTTTCTAGTGTCCTCCAGCTCTCTCAACTTTGAGTCAGAAAGTTCTCAAGATCTAAAAATATTTCATGGTGAGGATTCCCAGCTGCCATCGAACAAAACAGTCTGTTTTGCATTTGATGGACTTGTCAGGTCTGACTGTGTCAACATAAAAAATAACAAGCTTTGGGGATTTTTGGCCAAGGTGTGGGCAGATACCGAAGCTGAGCCATTGTTCTTGGTTTGTGGCTGCGTTATTTCAGGTTGTACAGTTAAACCATTAAGAGAATGTTGCACTGTCGCTTTAGTCATTACAGGAAGCCCTCTGGTATGCCAGGAAAAACAACAGGAAGGCAGCTCAGTGAAGTTCCAGGTTTTGTCCAGAAATGCCCGATTTGTTATGTTTATGAGTAGCCCAAAGCAAAAGTGGAGGTTCATTTTCCTGGTTAACTTGTTGTTGTTGATGGTTCATATACAATATTATACCCTTTTTCAAAGTCTTGATTTTGTTTTTGGGGTCTACTAGAATAGATTTACATGCTTGAATGTTCAAAAACACCTTATTTTTCACGTTTGTTGCAGCACCTCTCTCCTCAGTCTGCCAGTATCGCTCTGGAGTGCGTTTCCCAAAAGCATCGTTAGCCAACTATGGTCACAAGTTCCGTCGTTATCAGCATAGTTCAACGAGTCAGTGTTTCCCGAAACCATCGCTCCAACGAACATTCGCAAACAGCATCGCAAAGTTGTGTGCTTGGAACGACAGCTCTCGACCTGTGGTTAGAAGCATAGTTTTTTGTTTTTATAACACGTGGACTTAAAGCTGCAGTCCGTAGCTTTTCCTCTTTGTCGCCATCTCTCTGTTCGAAATCTGTAACTGCAGTGATTCGCGGAATTATCATCTTTACGTGGGTTGTAAATCGGCATGAAACAGCGCGGATGAACACAGTGTTTTGGGGCGAGTGCTGCTGTCAGTCACCGCGCTGTGTGGATACTGTCATTCAGAATCACAGATTCACTTTTTGAAAGTTTTACCAACATAAGAATTTTCATAAGGAAATGTCTTCTGAACAAGTAAGTAACATCCATTTTTGTTCTGACCAACTAAGGGGGAAAAAGCATTCGACATGATAAGCTTCGTTAGATTTAATCAATGCGATTTACAGCAACCGTGCAAATTATAGCCTTCTTTGTTCTCAAATTGTTCATGTAAACAACATCACATCAGTATTGCGTGACTAATGTTAAATTTAATGTGTTTTATGATTACCTGTGTAGTTCAGAATTCATATTCTCCATAATAGCAAAACGAGAAAGGCACAACAAAGGAAACTCCATAACTGTGTGAATTAAGAAAACGTACTGTTACACGATTGAACTATTGAAATGTCTTACTTGTTCAGCAGAAAAAAGCCGTCTCTTCTTCCGTTTTGAACCCCTTCAAAACACGGAGTTCACGCACTTTTCAAAAGCCCCGCCGATGTTTAAATCCTTGTGTTCGCATGAGACGGTTTCTTTCTCTTTCTCTAGCCACCTTAAATCCGAAGTACGAAGTCTTTTGGGTTTTATAACTGCTGAATCTCCAGTTGACACTGATGATTGTTGTTTGGATCTTTCTGGATGCCATAAGTTTAATCATGTAAAGTGGTGCGAGAAAAGCCTATACATCTAAACATCTCGTCACGCGCAGTATAGCCGGCTAGCTGAAACTCCTTCTTTATGTGTACGGATGTGACGTAATGACGCAAAGACATGCTCGAATTTCCCGCGGAAACCCACCAGTACCACTGGAATTAAAATCATTATTACAAGCTAACCGTTTTGAATCTAGCTATGGCAAGCAGATAGTTTTGACCACTGGCAGAATAAGTTTTTTTTAATATAATTATTTTGGATTATTTTTAACTTAAAAAAGCTACAGCAGCTTTAATAAATCCTTATCTTGAGCCAAATAAGCAAGCTTACATTCAGTACAATCAGTATCTGTTTTTAGAAGACATACAAATGTAATTTACGTCTTTTAGTTTGTCAATAGATTTAAAGCACCATTTTTGAAGAGTGCGCTATACGAAGGTGCTCTGTAAGACCGAGCCTATGATTGAATCTGGAAATAAAGCAAATAACTGAGAAAAATATGAGATAGTTCTCAGATGACATGTCCGATTTATAGCAAAACATCTAGTATTAATTTGATCTCAAACAGATTCATTAAAATAAGTTATTACTCCATCACCTGTGTGACATCATTAGCCAACGTGGTTGAACGACCAATTTGCGACAATACCGTTTCGGGAAACAGTCGTGACTAGCTAGTTGATTTCTTCAACGATGCATCATACTATGGTAGTGAAGCAGCGAGTTACGTCGTGGTATGGGAAACGCACCCCTGTCTAGTTCCTTTCTCTATGAAGCCCCTCCTTCTGAAAAGCACAATGTGCTCTGATTGGTTGGCTGGATCAGTGTGTTGTGATTGGTCAACCTCTTTGAGCATGTTTCAGAAATGTCACGCTCCTTAAAGCTGCAGTAGGGAGTTTTGAGAAAACGTTGACTTAGCCTGAAAATTTGAACAAG